CGTTCGCATTGAATCATTTACTTGTTTTGATGAAAACCAAAATGGCACCATTGACAAAGAAGAGTTCGCCAAAGCCGTTTGTTATTATATCTATATCAGTTATGATGATGCTACATTTTAATGGCATAGCAACATTAACCAAACGCTTGGTTCCATTGTAAAACATTAAATTAATAGTTTTAATTTTAAATATTTTTCTATGACTCATCTCGGTACGGTTTATTTCAACCGCATGTTTTTAAATCGTGCACGTTACTTCTTGGTGCATGAGTTCCCGCTTACCATCTTTTGCTAAAACTTCCCTTTTGTTGTAACCGTTAAATGTCGCTCATTTCTCTATCTGTGCCTTCCTTAATGTAATAGGATTCATCAAAACTGGAAATTGAACATTCATCAATTACGCTTACGGTTGACAATACCAGGGGTATGAATATTAGGCTGCGTTCACATGAAAAATCTATTTTCTAAAAATCTATTTGCGGTATCTTGTGATCACGGTCTGTGCCCTGAATACCCCACGGCGAAATTACGGGCAGTGCGAGCCAGTTACTTCCAATGCTGTAATTTATTCTCGGCGCTGCCAGTAATTACGCCGCGGGGTATTCAGGGAACAGACCGTGATCACAAGATACCGCAAATAGATTTTTAAATTTTTAGAAAATAGATTTTTCATGTGAACGCAGCCTTAATCTCTAGGTGGGAAAGTACCGATATAATTCCTTATTTCTTTCCAAAAAGGTTACATATAAAGGTTTAAACTTTCATGGTTTGTGTGGCGTTACAGTTATCTTTAAACCCATATTTTTGTGAAATTTGTACTCCTTTAAATCTCAGTATTGACTTGTACTATTCAGGCACTATTCTTTGTGACGTAAGAAAGGCTGTATAATTGACCATTTCCAATCTCCCGAGTCCGTTTACTGTGTATCGTGAAATATTCTGCAACATATAAAATATTATCCGAGCAGTTTTCTGATATTGTCTTTACCAATTACACGCCAAGTATAAAATGCACCAGCTTATAAAAGTTTCTATTTACATTTTATGAAACGGAAAATGCATTCTGCACCAGGAAATAATCAAAAATGACGTATGGCACGCTTATGAAGGTGTGATAGTTTCAAAATGGTGAATAATGCTCAATTTGAAAATGGCGTATGAGGGCCATCTTGGATTTGAGGCACAAATTTTAAGAAACAAATAATGTATTCTGCACCAGATAATAATATAAAACGACGTATTACTAATTTACAAAGATGTAGTACATGTAGTTTCAAAATTGCAAATTATGCTCAAGTTCGAAATGCTTTTGGCGGCCATCTTGGATTTGAGGGATAAAACGGCCAACAATGGCCTCCATAATGATAAAAATGTTTTTTTTTTTGCTCATAATATAGTCCAATAGCAATGGTTTATAACAAAAAATTGCAATGAGATATATTTGAATACGGGTTATTAATATCCATGGTTTTGCAGCGTTCACACATATCTTGGTAGGCACTTAAAACACCCTCTTTGTCCCTTCAAATCACCTATTATCACCAACACAATATCAAAAATGACTTTTTCACCCCCAAAATAGTAGGAATCGATATATATATATATATCAAGTATATATAGACCAAACGCTTCAAAATTCAACATAAAATAGCAAAATTATGTCCACTTTCAAAATGGCGGGTGGCAGCCATCTTGGATTTGAGGCACAAAATGGCCACCAATTGCTTCCAAATGATCAAAAATGGGTTCCTTGTCCCTAATTTAGTCAGGTTTGATAATCTATACATGTTTCTAGGCCAAAAATTAATGGGAATATGAAATATTATATATTTTGGCACCTAATTTGCATAATTTATGCTAAGTTATGAATCGATAGAGCGCGTCTCTTTGGATAAAAATTTTCTTTTGGCCCAAGGAACATTTATGCCAAGTTAGACATTTGAACTACAAAATGCAGCGTTTGGCCATTTTTTGGTCCTTAACAAGCCTACTAAAAGTGATAAACAGGTTCATATATAAATTTAATTAGATATATATATCAATATTGACAAATACTATAATAGATGCTGACCTAGTGTCGGACTTGGCATGTTGAAAGCNATCGATATATATATATATATCAAGTATATATAGACCAAACGCTTCAAAATTCAACATAAAATAGCAAAATTATGTCCACTTTCAAAATGGCGGGTGGCGGCCATCTTGGATTTGAGGCACAAAATGGCCACCAATTGCTTCCAAATGATCAAAAATGGGTTCCTTGTCCCTAATTTAGTCAGGTTTGATAATCTATACATGTTTCTAGGCCAAAAATTAATGGGAATATGAAATATTATATATTTTGGCACCTAATTTGCATAATTTATGCTAAGTTATGAATCGATAGAGCGCGTCTCTTTGGATAAAAATTTTCTTTTGGCCCAAGGAACATTTATGCCAAGTTAGACATTTGAACTACAAAATGCAGCGTTTGGCCATTTTTTGGTCCTTAACAAGCCTACTAAAAGTGATAAACAGGTTCATATATAAATTTAATTAGATATATATATCAATATTGACAAATACTATAATAGATGCTGACCTAGTGTCGGACTTGGCATGTTGAAAGCGTGAAGGATGTCTGAATAGTACACCTAATGAACGTGCAAATGCGTGAAATATTTGGCAATAATTATTTTTATTGAAAAATCTTTTTATTGAAAGATCTGTTCTTTAGGTTACAAAGTTATGAGTTACATAAAAGCATCACAGCCGTAGGAAATCGGCAAGGTGACTGTGCATAGTCATTTTGATATATTCAGGAGTTACGATGGATATATCACGGTGATTTTTGTGGGAACATTGTGCTCAAAATGCTTACTGACTAAAGAGATTAGTGGAATTGGTCCATTTAAACTCTTTTAAAATTTAAAAGTTTTCCAGAGACAGCACCATATTAGACAATATCAGAGTTGGAAATTCTGTTATCACAACAAGCACAGTACTTAGAAACCTGGGTGTAATTTTCAACAATGTCTATTAATTGTGACACGACAACAAAGGGTGTAAATAATCATATTTTAGTCTGCAACTAATATCTAGGATTCTTCACCTTATTGACAGCAAGCAAGCAGAGCTATTTATCCTCGAATTTTTGACTTCTAGACCCACGTGAGGAAGGAATTGATAGTGGTATTTTCTGTGCATTGCGATAGAGGTTTACTCTTGCTTGTGGTGTGTCTTTCACCCATGTACCTAAACCACACCCTATGTGTCCTTTTGAACCCCCACTAAAAAGCGTTTTTTACATAGATATAATAAACGGAAAAAATACATGACATTTATACATTCTGTATATTTATTCTAAATAGGAGGTTGTGTTATCCAAATCTCGTACTATAAACTGAATATTTCAACGATACTAACTGTTGATTTTAAAATACCATATGAATAGGATTGCGTTTTTTAATGTTATGCACCAAAAAACAACGAATCTTCATAACCGTTGCAGAAAAAATCAACACCGGCTTTGACAAACTCTTTTTTGTCGATGCCACCACTTTGATTTTCGTCGACATAACTGAATGAATCATCGAAGCCTTGGTGAACATTAAATACTTGAAGGAGGTCTTTGTGCTCGAAGACGTTCAACTCTTCATCATCGTTTTCATCTGCTGCTTGAAATATACCCTTTGCCCAACGTTTGACCATCGGCTGATATCTGTTGGTATTATATACGGCCACGTCGATCAAAATGAAGTCCGTCACGTCCAATCTTTCCAGAAAGTCGTCTTCTGGGATAGACCAAAAGGAAGACCACGCTTTGGAGACAGTATCATTGAAAGCTTTGATCTTATCAGCCCCAAAATATACTCTGGCTCTTTCAACAGCCCTGTTGACATAATCATGTTTGTCCACAAAGCCGTCATTGTCAGCGTCCAATATGTTAAAGAAGCGGGCCAATTTATGACGCCGTTTATCCCCTTTGTCCAGACCTTCCTGTAGTTTATGAAATGTATAAATAATAATAAAACGACGTTTGACTTAATGATATTTTATATAATTCATGGAATATACTATTTGTAGAAGATACACATTTAGCATACCTTTAGCGTGTATTTACCACATATTGTTGAGTATGAAAAGGAATTTTAAAGACCTTGATTCTCCTAACGTTATATTGGTATGCATTTGAAGGGGATCTCTAGACATTGGACTCCGATTGATGCGAGATTTATCACAAATATGGTCAGCAAAAGCAAGAAGAGGTTATTCTCCAGGTTGCACAATAGATATGCGCGTACTGAAGTTTCTACAACCAATCAAAATTCTTTTATATGCTTATTATCATACTATTTTGCCAAGTCATATTTTAGTGCTCTTGACAGGACACTGCAGATTTACATTTAATTTTATGGCCAGTTAGTTATATATGGTAAAATTTTTAGTTATTCTACGTTTGGTTTGCCAAAAAAGCAGTCTTAATTGTCCATATATCAACCAACCTATACATTTTCTATGCGATGTAGACTAGAATGGATATGTAAGCGCACCCCTGTATCATTTAAAAATGCCACATTAACTACATAACACCTTACCTTTTGGGGTCCACCACATGACTTTCCCATTACATCATTCACAGCCACCAACAGCAAGAACCAGAGCAAACATGAAAGAAACATGTTACTAGTATAATGGACAAATCAATGAGTCTGCGTTCTGTGCAAAAGTGTTACGTAACGGCACAGCGGTTTATTTAAATAGGGCGTTTTCGGCGTAGTCAGAGGTGTATCTTATCGAATCAACTTTGAACACGTAGTAAATGGGGGCGGTCCAAGTTCAGATACAAGAACAGCTATTCGTGCCCTCAATATCATTGGGCTCTCTTCCTTAAGGGTGAAGACTTATTTTTTTATATTCTCACAACATGCTATCTAAAAACTAATATACCTACCTGCTGTATTATATTCTTAAAGCACTTGGTTTAAGGGACCATTCCGACAGATATTTGGATCGATGTATTTTCCTGGAGAGTCCCACTAAATTGCTATCAACTCAACCGGCTAAATTGTCTGTCACGCCTAGTAAAGCTGTTAAGGAGTAATTAACTTTACCTGATTCGGTAGGCGTGACAGACATTTAAACCGGTTTGTTAATAGCAATTTAGTGAGACTTTCCAGGGAATTAGACCGATCCAGATGGGTCGATCTAGGTATTGGAACCCAGTCTAACATTATTCTTGGTGTTTTCATTGCCATACTTATGTAGAATTAGAAATAATTCCATCGGCTTAAAAACACAGTGAATGGTCTGGCTACCACGTACACACCGGCCTACCATAGACTGATAACAATGAAGTATGATAAATGATTCCATTCAACACAATATTTAACAACCCATATAACGTGTTGATGCTGGCCTTCGTTTGTGCAAATACACAGGATGCTTAACAGATACAGGTAATGTTGATTTGCAAAGCATTTTACGCCTAAAGTAAACTTAATTCTCTACTAAGCTATAGAACAGATACTCAATTTACCAATCGACCCATTTCGTCAGCTAAAATAACTAACTGATTATTTTTACAAAATACAGACGCAATTTAATAAAGATTGGCACATTTTGGTGGCACGAACATTTTGTGGCCATACTTAAACTGTTTATCTTCGTGTAGAGTGAAAAGTTGTCGCCCTATGATTCTTTTAACGCGATGAATAGATAATAAACCGCAATTTATGGGCTTATCAAACGTAACCAAAGATAAGAAATAGTACAGGCAAGGGGCAACTTGATTAGCCGTAGGCACAGTAATTAAATGGCGGCTTCATTCGACCAGACGCGTGGAANGTGTGTGTACAAAATGCAGCGTTTCGCCATTTTTTGGTCCTTAACAAGCCTACTAAAAGTGATAAACAGGTTCATATATAAATTTAATTAGATATATATATCAATATTGACAAATACTATAATAGATGCTGACCTAGTGTCGGACTTGGCATGTTGAAAGCATGAAGGATGTCGGAATAGTACACCTAATGAACGTGCAAATGCGTGAAATATTTGGCAATAATTATTTTTATTGAAAAATCTTTTTATTGAAAGATCTGTTCTTTAGGTTACAAAGTTATGAGTTACATAAAAGCATCACAACCGTAGGAAATCGGCAAGGTGACTGTGCATAGTCATTTTGATATATTCAGGAGTTACGATGGATATATCACGGTGATTTTTGTGGGAACATTGTGCTCAAAATGCTTACTGACTAAAGAGATTAGTGGAATTGGTCCATTTAAACTCTTTTAAAATTTAAAAGTTTTCCAGAGACAGCACCATATTAGACAATATCAGGGTTGGAGATTCTGTTATCACAACAAGCACAGTACTTAGAAACCTGGGTTTAATTTTCAACAATTTCTATTAATTGTGACACGACAACAAAGGGTGTAAATAATCATATTTTAGTCTGCAACTAATATCTAGGATTCTTCACATTATTGACAGCAAGCAAGCAGAGCTATTTATCCTCGAATTTTTGACTTCTAGACCCACGTGAGGAAGGAATTGATAGTGGTATTTTCTGTGCATTGCGATAGAGGTTTACTCTTGCTTGTGGTGTGTCTTTCACCCATGTACCTAAACCACACCCTATGTGTCCTTTTGAACCCCCACTAAAAAGCGTTTTTTACATAGATATAATAAACGGAAAAAATACATGACATTTATACATTCTGTATATTTATTCTAAATAGGAGGTTGTGTTATCCAAACCTCCTACTATAAACTGAATATTTCAACGATGCTAAATGTTGATTTTAAAATACCATATGAATAGGATTGCGTTTTTTAATGTTATGCACCAAAAAACAACGAATCTTCATAACCGTTGCAGAAAAAATCAACACCGGCTTTGACAAACTCTTTTTTGTCGATGCAACCACTTTGATTTTCGTCGACATAACTGAATGAATCATCGAAGCCTTGGTGAACATTAAATACTTGAAGGAGGGCTTTGTGCTCGAAGACGTTCAACTCTTCATCATCGTTTTCATCTGCTGCTTGAAATATACCCTTTGCCCAACGTTTGACCATCGGCTGATATCTGTTGGTATTATACAGTGCCACTTCGCTCAGAATGAAGTCCGTCATGTCCAATCTTTCCAGAAAGTCGTCTTCTGGGATAGACCAAAAGGAAGACCACGCTTTGGAGACAGTATCATTTAAAGCTTTGATCTTATCAGCCCCAAAATATACTCTGGCTCTTTAAACAGCCCTGTTGACATAATCATGTTTGTCCACAAAGCCGTCATTGTCAGCGTCCAATATGTTAAAGAAGCGGGCCAATTTATGACGCCGTGTATCCCCTTTGTCCAGACCTTCCTGTAGTTTATGAAGTGTATAAATAATAATAAAACGACGTTTGACTTAATGATATTTTAGATAATTCATGGAATATACTATTTGTAGAAGATACACATTTAGCATACCTTTAGCGTGTATTTACCACATATTGTTGAGTATGAAAAGGAATTTTAAAGACCTTGATTCTCCTAACGTTTTATTGGTATGCATTTGAAGGGGATCTCTAGACATTGGACTCCGATTGATGCGAGATTTTTCACAAATATGGTCAGCAAAAGCAAGAAAAGGTTATTCTCCAGGTTGCACAATAGATATGCGCGTACTGAAGTTTCTACAACCAATCAAAATTCTTTTATATGCTTATTATCATACTATTTTGCCAAGTCATATTTTAGTGCTCTTGACAGGACACTCCAGATTTACATTTAATTTTATGGCCAGTTAGTTATATATGGTAAAATTTTTAGTTATTCTACGTTTGGTTTGCCAAAAAAGCAGACTTTGTCCATATATCAACCAACCTATACATTTTCTATGCGATGTAGACTAGAATGGATATGTAAGCGCACCCCTGTATCATTTAAAAATGCCACATTAACTACATAACACCTTACCTTTTCGGGTCCACCACATGACTTTCCCATTACATCATTCACAGCCACCAACAGCAAGAACCAGAGCAAACATGAAAGAAACATGTTACTAGTATAATGGACAAATCAATGAGTCTGCGTTCTGTGCAAAAGTGTTACGTAACGGCACAGCGGTTTATTTAAATAGGGCGTTTTCGGCGTAGACAGAGGTGTATCTTATCGAATCAACTTTGAACACGTAGCAATAGCAATAGCAATAGCAATAGCAATTTAGTGAGACTTTCCAAGGAATTAGACCGATCCAGATGGGTCGATCTAGGTATTGGAACCCAGTCTAACATTATTCTTGGTGTTTTCATTGCCATACTTATGTAGAATTAGAAATAATTCCATCGGCTTAAAAACACAGTGAATGGTCTGGCTACCACGTACACACCGGCCTACCATAGACTGATAACAATGAAGTATGATAAATGATTCCATTCAACACAATATTTAACAACCCATATAACGTGTTGATGCTGGCCTTCGTTTGTGCAAATACACAGGATGCTTAGCAGATACAGGTAATGTTGATTTGCAAAGCATTTTACGCCTAAAGTAAACTTAATTCTCTACTGAGCTATAGAACAGATACTCAATTTACCAATCGACCCATTTCGTCAGCTAAAATAACTAACTGATTATTTTTACAAAATACAGACGCAATTTAATAAACATTGGCACATTTTAGTGGCACGAACATTTTGTGGCCATACTTAAACTGTTTATCTTCGTGTAGAGTGAAAAGTTGTTGCCCTATGATTCTTTTAACGCGATGAATCGATAATAAACCGCAATTTATGGGCTTATCAAACGTAACCAAAGATAAGAAATAGTACAGGCAAGGGGCAACTTGATTAGCCGTAGGCACAGTAATTAAATCTCGGCTTCATTCGACCAGACGCGTGGAGAAGCGAGTGAGAGGCGGAGAGACCATTACAGGATTAAGCAGGGTTCCTTTCATGTAGGGTCTGCCATATTGAGCCTTAGAAGAGTTGATACCCGCATCTTCTACTCTGAATGGCTCTGTTGGCAATTTAATTTTACAATTTATTAATATATGTACTGGTATAATATATTATTATTGAATATCCTTAACTCTAATCTTAATAGAATCCCCCCCCCCTTCACTGGTGACGAAAGGCCTAGACACGTAAATGACATTTAGAGCTATCCAATTTATATAAAAAGGTATTGTTTATGACTATATATTTAAGGAATTATTGTCAAAATATGTATCAAAACATTCTGTTGCGACTTAGATGTTCAAATTGATCTTTTCTTGATTTTATGTTCTGACACGACATTAACATCAGAATAAAAACAAAAAGCAGATTAAGGCATTAATTGTAAATGATTTATCATAAGAAGTGAAGTTTATTATTTTGTATACTGCGTATTCCACATGCGTCTCGGTGCAGTTAGCATTACACGTCCGGCCCTAAAACAGACTGGTGTCAGTATTTTCACCTTCCTGAGGAGGACACAGCTGCCGTATAAAGTGCTGAAACCTAGCAAACGATTAATACATTTAACTGACACAACAGGAACTTTTCCCTGCTTCAATCCATGCGTGCTGCTGTCATAAGGTTGGGGTGCGGGCAGAGCGAACCATTTATATATGAAGGACTGGCTGCCTCAGACGGAGCCGAACCCACGTCCACCTACTCTGGAAGTGGAAATTTTGTCTGTAACATTGTGATCAACCCTGGTAATTATGTCCTTTACTGAAGGGGGGATTTGAATTTTCATATTTATATATTTGATTATGTCGAACAGATAAATTCAAGGTGACTAAACAAGTCAATAGGTAAAAACACTACACCTGGTTTATAGACAAGTACAGAGAGTCCCTTTGTTAACACGTTTCGAAAATCAACAACAACTGTGTCTTTTATTCATTTTCTTTAAACAACACATAGACATCAGCACCAACTTTATGTAATACCCGTAGATATATTGTTAAATATTGTGTTGAGAAGAACCATTTCTTAGAATTTCTATAGCAGTAAGAGAATGAAAATAACTTAGAAGACGCCACAAATGTTTTTATTATTCAAAAACTAGTTGTCTGAGTCAGACAGTAGGGAATAGAGAAACGTGTCGTGGCTTTGACCAGAAAAGAGGGGAGCTTAGCACCTTGGGCTACTACCTCAGCTGCGTGATCAATGACGATTAGAGTCAATTTTCCTCTAGAACCGTCGAAAACGACTCCATATTTAAAAGATTTACTGAATAGAAACATAATCTGTACCACAAATGCACACAGCGCAGATCTATTGACAGTTGACTTGTTTGGCATAGACGAATGATGTTTCTACTTCCACGTCCGGTTTGGTTGTTGTATATAATGGTTGTCCATGACGTTCCAGGCGAAATGCTTTAGTGATGAACTATTAATTATATAATTGTGTTCGTATTCATTCGTGTACGTTCGTATTCTTTTTCCGAAGTCTCTTTCCGAATATCAGTTGTTTGTTTGAAAGGAAGTCGGAAAGGCATTTTTCATTGATCTTGAAATTAGACAAGTTTATACCTTCAGGCAAATAATGGATTTCAGCAATTCCAATATATCGGTGTTTATTCAACACAAAGAAACCGCTGTGGCAATGGTGTCATTAGAATACTCTCGGTTTTTCACTGTACTCGATGCTGACAATGACGGCTTTGTGAACAAACATGATTATATTAACAAGACCTTTGAAAAAGCGAGATATTTTCAGACAGATATGATCAAAATGCCAATGCTACTGTCTCTAACGCATGGTGTACATTTTGTTTCGTTCCAGAAGACATGCACAAAGATACCCTCGATGTTGAAGAGACGATTTTCATCTACATGGGTCGTCTTGAGTTCAACCAACTTTAAAAAGAGGCTGCTTGGGCGAAGGGAGTATTTCGAACAGCAAATGTTGATGATGATGATGGAAAGTTGAATGGTACAAAACTTACCTGTACCTTTGTGCATTCAACGTTCATATTGAATCATTTACTTGTATTGATGAAAACCAAAATGGCACCATTGACAAAGAAGAGTTTGCCAAAGACGCTTGTGATTTTTTAAAAAAAATTAGCCATGATGATTCAACATTTTGATGGCATAGCTACGTTAACAACAACAACAACAACAAAAAAAGTTCCATTGTAAAATATCAAATTAATAGGTTTCATTTTGAAATATCTTTGTAAGACTCATCTCTGGCCCGATTAATTTCAGCCGCGTGGCTATAACCTGCTCTTAAATCGCGCGCGGCAGTTATTGGTGCATGTGTTTCCACCTACCACCTTTTGGTAAAACTTTCTTTTTATTTTGTAACCATGCAGAAACAGCTATTTGCATGCTTTAAAGCGTAAACATAAATAATGGGCATTTTCAATCGGTCAACTGCGATTGTTTCATGGTTTTGATCGAGAAGCATAGGTATGAAATAGATTCGATTCCGGCATATTTTATCATGATCAATCAATTAATGTCGATCATTACTCTATAAGTGCTTTCCGTAATGTAATTACGCTTTAGTTTACAAAGTTATAAGTTACATAAGAGCGTCACAACCGTAGTAAATCGGCAAGGTGACTGTGTACAGTAATTTTGATAAATTCAGGAGTTACGATTGATATATCACAGTGGTTTTTGTGGGAACATTGTGCTCAAAATGTTTACTGACTAAAGAGATTAGCGGAGTTGGTCCATTTCAACTCTTAAGTTTTCCGGAGACAGCACCATGTTAGACAATATCAGAGTTGGAGATTCTGTTATCACAACAAGCACAGAAGTTAGAAACCTGGGTGTAATTTTCAACAACAATTAATTGTGATATAACAACAAAGGGGATAAATCATCATAGTCTGCAACGAATATTTAAGATTCTTCACTTTATTGACAGCAAGCCAGCGGAGCTAATCATTCCTTCATTTGTGACCCTTAGACTCGATTATTACAACAGCCTCTTGTTTGGAATACCTATTAATTGTTAAATGGAAAAAAATTGCAGTCTATTCAGAATTAAAAAAAAAAACTACCACATCACACCAGTTCTCCGAGGTCTTCATTGGTTACCAATCTCTCAAAAAATAGTTTTTTAAGATTTTACTCTTGACTTTGAACATTTCAAAGGGCGACTGAACAATATAATATAACTTTTAAATCCT